CCATGCAGCCGGGCCGGGTAATGGGGGGGGGACACTGGGGGGCACCAGTGCAAGCCCCTCCTCACCCTAGCCCCTGCCAACCACCATCTAACCTCAGGGCGTCTGTCGAATCCGTCTGTTGGAAAAGCCGCAAAAAGGATAGGAGAAAAAGGAGAAACAGAAAGAAATTGCTGGAAACCGGGTCCAGCGTCCCTTGAATACATTATTGCAGTACATCATTGAGAGTGACGCTAATGTGCTGGAAACCGGGTCCAGCGTCCCATACCTGGTCTACTTAACCAAACCACATCTGCAGTCCAGYCCAGTCCTGSAGCAGAGCCAGGACTGAGAACCAGTGTCCTTTCAACAACAGAGGTGCAAAAGTGTGCCAGGGACCAGGTCCGGCGTCCCATACCTAGACTGCCCATCCAACTTCCTCTGAGTTCAGCTGGAATGAACTGAGAAGAACAGAGAAAAAAGGAGAGTAACAGAACAGAACTAACCAGAAATACACCGAATGAGCCCCCTACCTGGTCCAAGAACAAACAGGGCCAGAAGCACAACTGTTCTTTTTTTTCCTTTTCATTTTTTTTTTCTGACATCAGTCTTAGGAAATGTCCTCGGGCGACGTCCTTGAGGACAGGTGGAACGAAGAGCGGACGTCCCCGAGGACAGGTGGAACGAAGAGCCACAAGGAAAATTCCTTGTGGCCTAAGGAGTGTCTCACGAGGCCCTTCAGTCATGTATTATTCAGCACTTCTGTCAGTGGACCGAGCCGGTTCCCTCCCAGGTATCCGGCCGGTCCACTTCAGTGGGGATATCTTTTTTTTTTTTTTTTTCCCCTGAAAAAAGGCCCTTGCGCAAGGCCTCTATCCTGGGGCGTGGTCCCACTAGCAAANCCACTTCAGTGGGGATATCTTTTTTTTTTTTTTTTTCCCCTGAAAAAAGGCCCTTGCGCAAGGCCTCTATCCTGGGGCGTGGTCCCACTAGCAAAGAGGGTCGGATCGAATGTCTGAATCTGGTCGAGGTGATGGAGATGTGCAGGAAATAGAGATTGAACTGCTCTTCTGCATCTCTGCATAAAACACGTCCAGATTCAGGAGCTCGATCCTATCCTTCTTGCTAGTGGGACCTCGGCCCTGGTGGTGGTAAGAGAACCACGGGGATTGAGGCTTTGCCTGGCGGGCCACTTCAGTGGGGATATCGGTTCAGGACCGTTCCAAATTGTTTGGGACGTCGGAAACGGCACCGGACAGGCAGATCGATATGGGAGGGAAGCTGTAGCGGGTTGAGGGAAACGGAGGTTGGTGCCGGGGGGATGGTCGGCCGTGGGTACATCCCCCGCCCCCCCTCTCTCTCTCTCACACACACACACACAAAAACACACACACACACACGCACATGCACACACACACACACATGCACATGCACACACACACGCACACGCACATGCACATGCACACACACACGCACACGCAGTTTGATAGTCGCATTCTCTCTTTCATACACACACATAGTCGCAGCCACCTCTCCCCCCTCCCACACCCCCCCACCACACACACACAAACACACACGCGCAGAGTGCCGCATGCGCGGACACTGCGAGATCCGTCATGGTAGCCGCTTTCGGCCGTAGTCTGTGCCTTCTGCTTGCAGGGTTTTGCTGACGTGTGGTCTTTGACGCGTCAATCTTTGTTAGTCCGAAACGAGGTCTTCCTCAGCATTGCCTACCGGTATTGCTTATGGTGTTCAAGTTGATAAGCAATATTGATTATGACGTCAAATCCATAAGTATTGCTTATGGTGTTCAAGTTGATAAGCAATTATATTGATTATGACGTCAAATCGTTATGGATACTCTGGCGACATACCTTGTGCCGTGCAAGATGTCAAGGAACGTGGCCAGAGTTTACGGGCGGACTTGAACTCATGATCTGCTATGCAGTCCGCCCTCATGATCTGCTATCCATGGTTACGGAAGCAGGAATGCCGGCGTGCTCGTCTACGATGCTCTTCCAATTTTCGCCCGGGTAAAGGCCCGAGCATGTCTTGTGTACCGGGTTGTTATGTGGGGTGTTTTCCCGGGCCCCGGTCTCTCAAAAGAAATGGATATTTGTTTTCTCCAAAAAAAAAAAAAAAAAAAAAACCTTTCTCGATCGGTTGATTACGGTGCTGATAAGCAGATCCTGAGTTCAAATCCGGCTGGGTATAGAATTGCGCCCAGGATACAGAGAAGATGAGCCTAAAGACTATAAAAAAAAAAAAAAACTCTACACATTTTCGTAATCGGCCTTTTCTCGGGGGCGTCATCTCAAAAGGGAGTAAACCGGCTGATGTGGGGTCCCCGGCCTCATGTGAAATGTGCCGAAATATAAATGAAAGGTGTCTTTTTGTTTTTGGGAGTAACATTTGAGAAAAACGTACTAAAAAAAATATATACAAAAAATAGAGAGTAACATTTGAGAAAAAAACGACTAGACTGGTGACGGAGAATAAACTAGAGGGTCTTTGTCTTCAAATTGGGGTTTCCTTTAAATTTGTCTTTAAATTTGTTCAATTGGGGTTTCCTTTAAATTTGTCTTTAAATTTGTTCAATTGGGGTTTCCTTTTGTTCCGGGATATTGTGAGGACCGGGCCTCACAACTCTTTTTTTTCATGAGCAATCAAGTGTTTCCTTTCTCGAAAAAAAAAAAAAGAAGAAAAAAGTAGAGAATTGTGCCGCCCACTCTGGGCACATTCCTTGCTATCAGGCATTGAACGCCAACAGGCAGTTCCTGGCCATGTTCCTGGCCATGATCCTGTCCATGTTCCTGTCCACGTTCCTGGACATTCCGCGTGGGTTTTCTTCCATAATGGGAATTGCTCGCCACATTCCTGGCCACATTCCTGGCCACTTTTCTGGTCCTCGCGTTGCTGCCCACATTCCTTGGCACATTCCTGGCTGTCGTTCGGGATTTTTTCCACATATTCGGGCGACTTGCCCGGGGTGCCCGGCCATGCTGCACAGCCGTGTCGGTCGCTGTTATGTGTCTTTGCGTGTTAGTCAGCCATTGTGCTGTAGTCTGCTGTCTCTCAGATCACATCACACACTTGCTAATAATCTTCTTTCTCTGTATCGTTCGAAGGACGACGAGAATACAGAGAAAGAAGATTAGCAAGTGTGTGATGTGATGTGAGAGACAGCAGACAGCAGAGAAAGAAGATTAGCATGCTATTGGTAGCCTTCTACTTATTAAACGTATTCTCCGAGTCGGAGGAAAATCCACAGCCGCCGATGGCAGGGAACCCAACCTGACACTCATCGCAATAGGAGGTAGTCAAAAGACAACAAGTCATGAAAATCACGGCCAGTCCATCGTGGGGATAAGCTCTGCCATCTATTCGCCCGTCTGACACCCTTAGTAACGGTAGCTAGTCCTCCCCCCCCCCCCTCTTTCCCTTCTCCCCCCCCCTCCCTCCCCACCCCTCCCCTTCCTCCTTAGCCATCCGCTTTTTTTCGTGAGGAAACGTGTATGAACGGGCACTCTTGGGTAATTTCTGTCACAACCCAGCTGTAGCTTGATAGGCCGCTAGAAGACTCTCTCTCTCTTCTGTCTCTTATACACATCTAGATGTGTATAAGAGACAGCCTCCCCTTCCTCCTTAGCCATCCGCTTTTTTTCGTGAGGAAACGTGTATGAACGGGCACTCTTGGGTAATTTCTGTCACAACCCAGCTGTAGCTTGATAGGCCGCTAGAAGACTCTCTCTCTCTCTCTCTCTCTCTCTCTCTCTCTCTCTCTCTCTCTCTCTCTCTCTCTCTGTGTGTGTGTGTGTGTGTGTTGGTCGCTGGATCGGCGTTGCATGTTGGCAGGTTCGCGAACACATAATCGGATTTAATTCATCCGTGAGGTTGACAACAGTGTGCTTACGTGCGCTGAAAAAAAGGGCGGGGGGAGGAAAGGGAAAAAGTGTGCTACCATGGAGTGCGCTGCTAACCTTGGCACGTACGTTTAAAACGAACAAACAGACAGACAAACAAACAAACAAACAAACAAACAAACAAACAAACAAACAAACAAATTTGGCACGCAAGTATGCAGAATACCAAGATCGCCTCCGAAAGATGCTGATCGGATAAACTAACTGTCTGGAAAGAAGACAACAGTGTGCTGACAGCTATCCGAGAGATGATATGAGCATCTTTGGGAGAAAGAAGACAGCAGTGTGAGGGTAGCGAAGAAGACTTGAGCATGTATGAAGAGAGCGGGACAGTTAAAATGTGATGTTATGAAAAAAAAAAAAAAGAACATTGAGTAAACAACAGAAAGATGTCCAACAAAAAACACACAGAAAGATGCGAAAAAAAAAAAAACCCTCTGAAAGGCGTAAAAAAGAAAAGAAAAGAAAAGAAAAAAAGATGCGTATCAGGAAGGGGAGAAAGAAGGCAACACCGTGACGGCGAAGAAGACTTGAGCACGTATGAGGAACAACGTACCGAGCAGTATTTGTGGTGTGTTTTTTTTTTTCCTTCTTTTTTTTTTTTTTTTTTTTGAAACACAAAGCTCCGATCTATTCGTGGGGATTGTTGTTGTTCCAACTCGCTTCTTTCTCCTTTTTCTTTGTGTGTATATATTATATATCGTGTGTGTTCCGTCGGGCGTACGTACGTGTGTGTCGATGAGCGCGGAAAGTGGGGATGAGTTGGGGGGGGAGGAGAAGAAACTTGGGGAGGAGAAAAGATACGGTATGTGCATGTGGGTACGTGAAGTGCTTCGTGATCGTCACAAAGATGTCAGAGCGCAAAAGCGAAAAAAAAGAAGAAAAAATCAATTCATTTTTTATCTTCTTAATGACAACTCCCCCTGTTCAAAACCTCTCGCCCACGTGGATGTAGGTTGAGCGGCGGCTGCCCCCACCCCCGTGTGTCATATCGACCCACTTGCACACAGCCAAAAGGCAAAGAGGCAAAGAAAGAGGTAGGGAACAGCCAAATATATATACGAAACAGTTTGTCACAGCCCCTCGTTTGTTGTCCTCTTCTCTCTCTCTGCCTACGGTTTACCGGGCAGTTCTGTTTGTGACGATATATATACACAGAGAGAGAGAGAGAGA